TATATATATATCCATGAGTTTTGCTATATTCCAGCGTTCGCCTTCGCGCCTCCCCCCTCCTCTCCTGCTCGTCCTCCTCTTCCCCGCCCGGTCTCACCGATACGAAATGGGGTGTATTCGTATCGTTCCCGCTCGCATGGTGGTTTTATGCTCTAGTTTCTGTGCTCTCCCTCCGTCTCCTCTTCCCTTGGCTGTGCACGGTGCGCGATCGTCCGTGTCCATGCCCGGTGCCCTGGATTGCGCCGTGTTTCAATTCCCCGCGATACTTCGCGATTTCTACTTTCAGTTTTGCGCCTGCCGCCGCACGGTGACTATTCATATACGCCATCGCTCGCTGGACTGCTCACCTACGTGGCTGGACGCATCATTTGCACGGCGACTGAGGTAGCTCACTGGCGTCGCCGAGTGTGTCATCGTGCTGATGTGTCCGCTCCCCCTCCTCCCCTCCAAAATTGCGCAAAAAAATATGATTTATTTGGTTTCGTGCCTCTCCCACCGCCCCCCCCACCCTTCCAGGGAGGCCCCGCCTGAGCGAGGACAGTTTTCGGATACCATGTGATTTATCATGTTGCAGGCCCCTCCCACCCGTCCAGGGAGGCCCCGCCTGAGCGAGGACAGTATTTGCATACCATATGATTTATCAAGTTTCGTGCCCCTCCCACCCTCCAGGGAGGCCCCGCCTGAGCGAGGACAGTATTCGCATACCATGTGATTTATCAGGTTTCGTGCGATGGCCATGAGAGGAGGAGGAGGAGGAGGAGGAGGAGGAGGAGGAGGAGGAGGAGGAGGAGGAGGAGAAAGAGGAGGAGGAGGGAGAGGACGGGGAGGAGGAGGAGGAGGAGGAGGAGGAGGAGGAGGAGGAGGAGGAGGAGGAGGAGGAGGAGGAGGAGGAGGAGGAGGAGGAGGAGGAGGAGGAGGGAGGAGGAGGAGGAGGAGGAGGAGAAGGAGGTGGAGGAGCGCCGAAGGCCGTCTACGTCACCCCACGCACCCGCAATTACCATCGTCATCCTCGCTATTGTTTGCCTTTCCTCGTCTCCTTCCTCTTCTCCTTCCGTCCCACTGCATCGGCTTTCCTGCTCTTGCTCGCCCCAAAAGCTTCTCTGCGCTGCAAAAGAGCACGCTGCCGAGCGCAGTTTCGTGCCCTCCCGTGTCTCCAAAGACGCCTCCCCTGAGCGACGAGGGTGTTTAGATACCGTGCTGCCTCCTGGGTTTCGTGCCCCGTCCACCCGTCCAGCGGAGGCCCCGCCTCAGCCTTCTGTGGGGAATCCCGGTAGCATAACCTGGAAGCGGGAAGAGGCATCTCGTTGGACCACCTGCGCCCAGAGGGCTGGTGGGATTCTCTGCCTCCAGGGGCCCTCGCCGGAGCCGCAGGATGGTCAACGACACGAATCAGGATGAAAAAACCAGTCCCGGGGAATGGGTCGAGACTTCCAGGGACCCCGGAGGAGGAGGAGGAGGAGGAGGAGGAGGAGGAGGAGGAGGAGGAGGAGGAGGAGGAGGAGGAGGAGGAGGAGGAGGAGGAGGAGGAGGAGGAGGAGAGGAGGAGGAGGGAGGAGGGAGGAGGGAGGAGGGAGGAGGGAGGGTATGGAAAGAAACACGACGTCGGATCCCTGGGGTTGGACGTCTCCAGGACGCTGGACCTGCCAGGGCGCTGCACCTGCCCGGCTTCGCCCCCGCTCCCCCGGAGGTCCGACGCCTCGACAAAAGTGGTTACCTCGCGAAAGGAATCACGACGGGAGCCCCCGTGACGTCATCTCTCTGCGCTGTTTTTGCCGAGCCGGCTCGATCTCTGAGGTCCCCGGGGCCCCAAGCTTGGCGAAAACGTCCGGCTAGAAAAGAGAGCCTGTTCTTGTTTAGACTCCAGCAAGTTCGCTTGCACGGACGGGGGGGGGGCTGAGCCTGAAGCACCTGCACGCTAGCATTCGTTTGAAGAGGGGCGAGTGGGGGGAGGGGGGGAAGGCCAACGCCATGCAAGCAAACTTGCGTGAGCCTCAAAAGACACACGCTCAAGTCGAGTCGCCAGGACCTCGGGGCCTCGCGCGGGCCCCTCGGGGAGCCCCTTCGGCCCCGCCCCGCCCCGCCCTGTCGGCCGAGGCCGCCGGCCGCCTCAGCCGAGCGCTGGCGCTGCCGCTCGGCCGGCTGCTGCTGGAGCTGCAGCGCGCCGCCGCCGAGCAGCGCTGCGGCGGGCCCGCAGCCACGGGCGCAGCACCGGGCAGGTGGTCGCCGGGCAGGTGGTCGTGGCGGTGCGCCGTGCCCAGACATCCTGGCGTCTCGAGCAGCTCGAGGCGGGTGCTTTCCATAGTGTTTGCGGCCTCTCGGGGCCCTTGCTGGGCCTCGGGGCCGTCAAAAAACGACTCGGAGCGAGAGACCGGTCCCGGTGAAGCTGTCGAGAGGTCGGGGGCCCGCGTCTCGAAAAAATCGAGACGCCGGATGTCTGGGTGTGTGGGTCTTCACATAAGTCTCACGAGGCACAGCGGGGCGGGTGGGATTTCAGCCGGAACGGCGCACAGATAAAAAGATAGGGGGGGGTCGGCTTCTCGGACTTTCGCGCCCAAGTTGCCTCCGCGAAGTTCAGCTCGAGCGCAGGCATTATCTTTTCCACATGGTGCCTGCGGTGCTGGCGGCCCGCAGGTCTCATCGTGCCAGGTCGTTGTGTCGTTTAGTTTATAGGGTCCGTTTCTCGTTGTCGCCCGATTGTTTCTAGGTGTCCTCGCAGAAGGGTCTCAAAAGACTTCGATGGGCCGGGCAGGGTCTCATCGGCGCCTGATGATCCGGGGGGTCTCGGGCGGGGGGGCTGGAGATGCTCTAGGAGATGCTGGGAGGTGAAGGTGAAGCAGGGAGGTGCCCATCCGCACTGGCAGCTTGTACTTTTGGGGCGATTGAAGGCGCGATTGAAGACCAGGCCCCTTGTTGTTCTGCGCGTCTCTCGTCATTTGCAGCCGAAGCACTCGGCCCAGAAGAGGCGCGTACAGGTCGTGCAACGCACAGCGGCCAATCTGTAGTCCTGGCCAGGACTCGGGCTTCGCAGAATTAGCCTGGCGAAGGACCCAACCATATGCAGTTGTGAGCACCGTCGTTGTATGCACCGTATTCGGAGGAGCTCCCTGTAGGGCCATGAAGCGTGTGAGGCGTGTGCCAAAAAATGTCGAGTGGGCGCACGCGAAAGCAGCCACTGGGGCCGTCGGTGGAGTTCCCTTGGGGCCACGAAGCGCGTGAGAGGTGTCCCGAAACAGGTGCGGTGAGCGCATGCGGACGAAGCCATTAGGGACGTCGGTGGAGCTCCCTACGGTGCCGCGAAACGTGTGATGGGTGTGCCGAAATGGGTGCGGTGGGCGCATGCGAACGCAGCCACTGGGGCCTCCGGTGGAGCTAGATATGTGGGGCCAGGAAACGTGTGAGGGGTGTGCCGAAATTGGTGTGCGTGACGCATGCAGGCGGTGGCACTGGGGCCCTCGGTGGAGCTAGATATGTGGGGCCACGAAACGTGTGAGGGTGTGCCGAAATGGGTGTGCGTGACGCATGCGGGCGTTGGCACTGGGGCCTTCGGTGGAGCTCCCTGTGGAGCCACGAAACGTGTGAGGGGTGTGCCGAATGTGCGTGACGCATGCGGGCGTCGGCACTGGGGCCTTCGGTGGAGCTCCCTGTGGGGCCACGAATCGTGTGAGGGGTGTGATGATTTAGTTGTGCGTGACGCATGCGGGCGGTGGCACTGGGGCCTTCGGTGGAGCTCCCAATGGGGCCACGAATCGTGTGAGGGGTGTGCCGAGATGGGTGTGCGTGACGCATGCGGGCGGTGGCACTGGGGCCTTCGGTGGAGCTCCCTATGGGGCCACGAAACGTGTACGGGGTGTGCCGAAATGGGTGTGCGTGACGCATGCGGGCGATGGCACTGGGGCCTTCGGTGGAGCTCCCTGTGGAGCCGCGCAACGTGTGAGGGGTGTGCCGAGGTGGGTGTGCGCGACACATGTTGGCGGTGGCACTGGGGCCTTCGGTGGAGCTCCCTGTGGGGTCACGAAACGTGTGAGGGGTGTGCCGATATCGGTGTGCGTGACGCATGCGTGCGGTGGCACTGGGGCTTTCGGTGGAGCTCCAAATGGGGAACGTGTGAGGGCTGTGCCGAAATGTGTGTGCGTGACGCATGCCAGCTGTTGAGGGGGGGGCGAGGAGGAAGGAAGGAGGGAACGTGGGGACCGTCTCTTCAAAACGAGGACCCAACAACACAGGATGGTTGGTAAAAAAGACAAGATGGAGACATCCGGCGTCTCGATTTTTTCGAGACGCAGCCCCCCGACCTCTCGACCACTTCCCCAGGACCGGTTTCTCGTCCCGAGTCGTTTTTTGACTGTCCCGAGGCCCTGTAAGGGCCCCGAGAGGCCGAAAACTATGAAAAAACCTCCGTCTCGATTTTTTCAAGACGCCAGGATGTCTGGGGAGGTGATGCAGGGGGAGCGCCCCCGCGTGCGAGGCAGCGCCGTCCCTCCTGCCCGATCCCAGCGACCCAGGAACTCTCTCGAGGATGCAGAGAGGGCGTCGTCGGCCCGGGCAGCCCATCGAGGGCACGGGGCGGCCCCACCATCGAAGGCAGGGCCCCTCGAAGACAGGGCGAGGAGGAGGAGAAGGAGGAGGAGGAGGAGGAGGAGGAGGAGGAGGAGGAGGAGGAGGAGGAGGAGGAGGAGGAGGAGGCGGCGGCGGCGGCGGCGGCGGCGGCGCGGAGGAGAGGAGGAGGAGGAGGAGGAGAGGAGGAGGGGAGGAGGAGGAGAGGAGGAGAAGGAGAAGGAGGAGCAGGAAGAGGAGGAGGAGGAGGGAGGAGGAGGGAGGAGGAGGAGGAGGGGAGGAGGAGGAGGAAGGAGGAGGAGGAGGAGGAGGAGGAGGAGGAGGAGGAGGAGGAGGAGGACGAGGAGGAGGAGGAGGAGGAGGAGGAGGAGGAGGAGGAGGAGGAGTAGGAGGAGGAGGAGGAGGAGGAGGAGGAGGAGGAGGAACAGCAGAGCGGTGGCTGTGACCAGTAGGTTCGCGACGCCTTGGCGCGGCTGCGGCCACAGTGCGGGCGTTCATGGTCGAGCGCCGCCAGTGGCCTGGCATCGGCCGATATCTAACCATCTGCGCCATCGCAACGCCGCGATCGTTCAAGGTTGGGGCGATGCACGCGGTGCGCAGCACGTCATCGCGACGTGAATCCGCCATAGTAAGAACCCTTCGAGTCAAGCCCGCATAAGAAAACTAGGCAGCTCTGCCAGCCCTTCGCTCAGAGCGCAATGTTTCCAATCGTGCGGTGGCCTGCTCCTAAGGAGGACGCCGCAACATAGTCGTTTAGTTGGGCCTTTCATTCATGCATGGCAGTGTGCTCGCTCTCGTTATAGTCACAATGTTGGAAAGCATCATGTCTCCAAGGTACGCTATAATGGGATCTTTCTGGCCCACCCGGCTGTGGTTCAGCCCCGCGCTCCAGCGGATTGGGACTGCCGCCTCGTTCAGACACGTTTGGTACACCTACACTGGTGTCGCTGTCCTCTGCAACCTGGTCCTCATGGGGTTCTTCGCGGAGGACGCGGTCTACGCTGCAGGGAAGACCCAGAAAGGCGACGACCTCGACATCGCGCGCGTCGCCCTGGACGTCGGCCATATTTGTCTGCTGATCACCGTGACGTGCATGGTGCCCGAGTCATTTCTGCGCTGCGGCACTTACGGCTGCCGTGGGCACCAGAGACCGCTTCACGGCGGCGCCGCGGAGGACACCGAATACGCCGGCGTTGGGACGGGGAGCAGCGACGAGGGCAGCAGCGACGGAAGCAGCGGAGGCGGCTCCGACGGGAGCGCTTGACGCTCGGGTGTGCGGCCGAAAAGGGGAGCCTGGGCCAGGCGAGAGACGAACCAGGGACGTCGGAGCCGTTGGGGGCCAGGGGGAGGGGGAGGAGGAGGAGAAGCAGGAGGAGGCGGAGGCGGGAGAAGTGGGAGGAGAAGGCCCTCAGTACGGCCCCAAGAGGGCCCCAAGGCAACCCAATATGGCCTCCAAAGAGGCCCCAAGAGATTTCCAAGATGGCCCATGGTGCCCCGAAGACGGCTCCACAAACGGCCCCCCAAATACTCCCAATAGCGCGTCCCCGGAAGTTGTCCAACGGCCCAAAGACGTCTGGTCGTGGCCCAGAAGTTTTTGAATACCGCCCGCGAGAAGGTAAAGTCATCGAGTTTGAGGCCCTGCCGGTGCGACCCAGATTGGTTTTCTTGCCTTCGTTGACAATGGTTTCGCCCCAGGTGAGTGGCCAGGAGGGGAGGAGGCGGCCTTGGATGCTCCGTGATTTGACCCTGGTGGCGTGTACTTCGGAGCCAGGCTCGGACACCGCTCTTCTTTGCTCAGCTCCTCTTCCTCCGATCCTCGGGTGGACCCGTAGAATCGCAAGCGTTGAAGAAGCCACATGACTCCCATACACGTCGTTGGCGCCCCAAAACTTCCTTGCCGCAGGTCCCTCTACCACCCAGGGAGGAGCTACATATTCACCCCTGTTCCTCATTGACAACTTGAGATGCGACGTCCTTGCGCGCGGCTAGAACCTAAGCGCGCGCGAAGCGCGCGCCTTGCTCCAGTATGTCTGTTTATCTATACATATACATATAACGGCGCACCGGGTCCGGGGGCCCGGGGCCGGGACCCCGACCACAAATGTGGGCCCCGGGGGGCCCGGAGGCTCGTCGGACCGCCGGACGCCGTCCAAGATCGTTCGCAGGCGGCTTCGGAACGCGCTCCGATGGCTCCAGATGCCTTCCAAGACGCCTGTCATGACACCAAGAAGGTCCCAGAAGCCTCCAAGACGCTCCGAGAGGCAGCCCAAGAGAGGCCCAAGAAGCAAAAATCGTGCCATTCCTATGGGAAAACGTATATTTTTCGCATGTTCGCCTCTTGGGCTTTCACCGCGTCCAAGACGGCCCAAGAGGCGCCCAAGACCGCCCCAAGACGGCCCAAGAAGCTTCCAAGAGGGCCCCAGGACAGCCCAAGAGGGCCCCAAGACGGCCCAAGAGGCGCCCAAGATGGCCCAAGAGGGCCCCAAGACGGGCCCAAGAGGGGGCCCAGAGGGGGACCACGAACCGCAAGCTCGAGCCTTCCGCCCCAAGAGGCCGCCAGGAGGCCCCAAGGAGGCCCCTCAAGAGGCCCCAGGAGACCCCCAAGAGGCCCAAAGGAGGCCCCGAGAAGCCCCAAATCGGCCCCCAAAATGCTTCGAACCTGCTTCCAGGAGGCCCCCGACAGGTTCAGAGGCTCCCGAGAAGCTACGTCAAACTCCCAGCGAGCGGCCGGACGAGGCCCCCCACAAAATCACAAGAGGGTTCCAGTATTTGTATCCTTCAGCGCTCTCTGGCCTTCTTCCCCCTGCCCCCTTCCCTGCGACTTTCGTTGACTCAAGCTCGCCTCCTAGCTAGAACCTAAGCGCGCGCGAAGCGCGCGCGTGGTTCTAGTACATATGTATATTCACACGGCTAGAGACAGTCTTGTTAACAGACAACAAATCCCCGCTTGTCTGCATTCATTTGCACGCGTGTATGCATACATGCATGGATTCATGTTTGTGTGAGTGTGTGTATACACATGCACATGTATACGTGTACACACGAGACCCCGAGATACCTCCCAAGGAGGCATCTTGTCCACGACCCAGTTTGGTCCCAAGAGTGCCGAAGAGCTACGAGTGCCTCCCAGACGCCTCCCGCTGGCCACGAGAACACGGACACGTACCCAGTCGCTACTACCTGACGGGCACGCGGCAATGATGACACGTTACGGGCCGGGCGGAGCGAGCAATGCAATGCAAAGAACTTACCCGAGACGTACCCAACTCCTTCTCCACGCAAGGCGACTGTTCAAAGAAGTGCTCTGCAAAGGGAGGAGAAGGAGAAGGTGAAGGAGAAGGAGAAAGATTGGATACCACCGTGCTCGATCCAAAGCGAGGACCCAACACAGGAGGGCTGGGACAAGTGGGGCGTCTTCCCGCCGCAGCGGACGAGACGGGGATGGCGGGCGAGTGCCCGCCGTCTTCGGCAGGGGAGGCTCTCCGCGGGTCGTCTCGGGGTGCCGCGGCCCAGAGGCGCTGTCGCCCTGAGGCTCCCCTCCTCGCCCCCCCCGCCGCCCCACGCCCGAGGGGACGCCAGAGGCCGGGGGTGCAGGAGGAGGCCAGGCGCAGAAGGAAGGCAGCGCGCGAGGGGATGCCCGGCCCCCGCCCCTTTGAGAATCTCTGCCGCCGTCTGGCCGCATTCTGATCTCGAGGCCTTCCTGGGCCACCCCAAGGGGCGCGGGAGGTCAGAGGTGCAGGAGGAGGCCGGGCGGAGAAGGAGGGCAGCGCGAGGGGGGGATGCCTTGTCCCGCCTCTTAGAGAATCTCTGCCGCCGCCGGGCCGCCTTCTGATCTTTGGAGGCCTGCCTGGGTCACCCCGAGGGGGCGCGAGGATATGACCGCGCCTCCCGCGTCGCGGCCTGGGCTAGAGCTGCCCCCTTGAAATGGGAGACGGCGCGAGGGCGCGAAGGGGTAACCGCTCGTGGCGCACCGCGGGGCGCGGGGCGCAAAAAGTAGGTGGCCTGGAGGCCTCTAGGAAGTGGCAGGGCCCTCCCAGTCCGTTTTCTACCTCCTCCTCCGCCTCCTCCTCCTCCTCCTGCGTATCCTCCTCGTCCTCCTCCTCCTCCTCCTCCTTCTCCTCCTCCTCCTCCTCCTCCTCCTGCTCCTCCTGGCATGGCCCTCGTGAGAAGCCCCCCCGCCCTCGGAGAAGACCGCCCCCCTCGTCCCTGTCCGCCAGCACTCCGCGGAAGAGGGCCAGGGCGCCTCACACGGGGATTCCGCGCTTTGAAACAATGTCTGGCCCCAGGCCTCCTAGATGGGGTCCGAGCAGATGGGGTCGGAGGATCGCGTCGCATCGCCGATGCATCGGCGATGCGGCTCGATGTAGAGCCAACGTCGCCACGTCGGCGCGATCCTTCGACCCCATCTACTCGGACCCCATCAAGGAGGCCTTTACTGACGAGGCGAAGCAGTCACGACTGGAGTTCTCGACCCCGTCTTCCTGCCGCATTTCTCAGGCAGGACCTCGATCCGTGAGGGTCAGGGGCCCCGAGCTTGGGCCAGAAGCGCCTGTAGTGTTCTTGTCCGCAGCGACGGAGTCTGAGGGGAGGGTAGGGCCTGTCCTGGGGCGCATGCGGACTGGGGCTTCGAGGCCAAACCAGCCATGGCGACAAGGATCCCCGTAAACTTCAGAAAGCCCAGACCTCGGAGTTTTTTTTCGTATTCTGAAATGCGCAGGCCCTGGGGCTCTCTACCTTTCCAGGGATTGGGTTTCGTCCAGGGCAGCTTTTTGCTGGTCCTGGAGCTCAGGATGTCCGAAAGCGCTGTGGGCACGACGACGACGACGACGACGAAGACGACGACGACGACGACGATTTCAAACTCTCTCTGAACCCATCTCTGGCACCCTGCTGGGACCCATCCTGGCACATGTTTTACCTGGGACCGCTGACGGCCCCCTGGGCCCTAGCGGGCTTCCAGACGCCGAGTCTTGCGAAGACCCCGTTCGAGCCTCGATCGATCGATCGATCGATCGGTCGACAACGACATCGCATCCGTTTTGAATGGCTTTGGCCGCGAAGGTGGTCCCCGAACTTGGGGTGAAACCTCGGGCGATCGGTACTGATCCTCGGTGGATCTCCGATGGACCTTCGATGGGCCCTCGATCGACGACGACCGCGACGACGGCGACCCCGGAAGTCTCGACCCCTTCCCCGAGGCAATTGTCTTCCCACATCGGCTCCAGAGGGTCCCGAAGCGCTAAAACGGGTCGGGGAGGCCGAAGAGGGGGAGAAACTTCGGTCGATCGATCCTCGGTAGATCCCCGATTCCGAGGATTGCCAGTTCTCGGCGACGACGACGACGACGACGACGACGACGACGACTGCGATCCTCGACGACTGCCGAGGACGCTCCTCGATCGAGGACTACCCATCCTCGTTGATGACGTCGACGACGACGAGCCTCAAACGCTGATCGGCGTCCAGCCTCGAAAATAGTGAAAAATTCGGGCCGAACGAAACGGGGGGATAGGGAAAGGGTGGGCTACGAAATCTGCTGCATGCAGCAGGTTTCGGCCCCGCCGCTGGGCCCATTCCTCGATACATGGGCGCCTCCCGGCGCCGGGAGGCGCTGGGAAAATCAGCTACGTGAGCTGACTCTCTACCCTACTTTTTGCTATCCCTCCCTTGTGTTCTCCCCGAAAAACCTCCGCCCTTATTTTTGTCGATGCGTTGGATCTCTGGGGATCGAGGATCGACCGATCCTCGATCCACGTCGGCGGCGGTGGCGGTGGTTCTGCGCCCGCGCCCGCTGGCAGCCCGGTAGCCCAGCAGGCGCACCGGGGGCGGCGCGCCCGGCCATGCAGCGGCCGCAGTCGGCGAGGGCCGGCGGCTGCCGGTCGGAGGCCCCGAAGGCCCCCATATAGCTTTGTGGTGTTCCAGCCCACGTTGGCCCTCGAGCACCAGAAAGAACCAGAACATCACCGAAACGCGGGGGTTTTCACGCGTCGGGCCCCGGGAGACACTCGTCCGACACTGTTTCGACCCTCTTTCGACACTTTGCCGCCGGGTGCTCGAAGTCGTTTCTGGGATGCGGTCTGTAAGCACGAGGGGAGCAACGTGAGCCTATAGCTGCGGAAGGGCGGGGGAGGCGCGGAGCTCGGAGGGAGGCCCCAGAGATCCATCCAAAGTGCACAGACAAAAATCAGGCCGGAGGTCGTTTGCAATTTGCGGCCTAACTGGGGGCCCTCGCCGGGGCCAGGGCCTGTCAGAAAACGACTCGGGAGGAAGTGCCGGTCCTGGGGA